CGCGGCATTCTTTGATAACTCCCGGTCCTCCCGTTGCAAAGGCAAGTCCGGGATGAGAGTTCTACAGGGAGCCTCTCCTGAGTTAGCCAAGGAAGAATGGTGGCACAACAATTTCAAATTGCCACGGCAAAAAAGGATTGCGAACTTCGTACATGACATGTTGAAGCGGGCTTTGCAAGGTTCATCGTTGATCCGTCCAGGCGGGGCTGGGCTGTTCATGCTTCTCAAGGAGGCCCCCGCCGGCTTTGATCGGGCTCACGTATCAGGTGAGGACCTCAAAGCGTACCTGGATGTGGAAACCCAAAAGGTGGAAGATTGGGCGTTGAAGGAAGATCTTCGGAGCGTCGGATGTGGCACCTAGCCCCACGCACCCGGTCTCTGTTGGAAATGGCACAGAGCCTCTGCATGTTCTTGTGCAGGGTATGAGATGGCTTCAGCAAGAGTACGAAGACAAATTAAATGCCAGAGACGCGGAGCTGAAGTGAACGGGTCCTGAAACGCCGGACCGAAGCTTCCGTGGCTTGTCGGATAAATCCTCTACATGGTTTTCGGCCTGTTTGGGCGTGGCCGGGCACTGCACCGTAGCTTCTCGTTGGAACCGCTTGTCCATGCAACTTGTATTCCAAAATTTTTGAAGGATGCCCAATATCACCTCTCTGTGAGGGGCCCTGGAGAAACCAGCAAACGATGCGCTCGTGCATCGTGCTGTGGATGTTCCGTCCTTTCTCTTCCGCTCATATGTGCTCTACGAGCACCTGTGTTAAAGCATCTTGTGAAGCAAAGGCTGGAGGAGGAGATGCCACGTGTCCCAGCTCCAGATCCTTCAATCCTGCTCAGGGCTCTGGGGCTCATGGTGAAGGAAGGTTCTTGAAGTCTTCCCAAAAGTAACAATCAGAGTCGACTTGATGAAGACAGAGCTATAATTTCAGGGGCAACCTGCACTAGACAGGTGACAGGGTTCTTCGACTTCAAACACATGTCCTAACAAAACTTTAGATGGTTCCTCCGGTTTCGTTGAGTATGTCTTCTTCATCTTTGAAGGCTACGGACCGGAGGCACTGGCAAAGCTGTATGTCCTCCTTCCCCGCCTACGAAACGAGGAAATGGACAGTTTTCAAAAATGGGTGTTTCAAAGGCCCCAACTCAAAATATGAACACATCTTTGAGTCGAAGGAGGATAAGAAGTCCCGTTGTTGGGAATGGTGCAGCCAGCGCCGTAGCAAGAATGATTACTGTGCTGCAGCAGCGAAGCCAGGTAAAGCTCCTAGGTCACTCATTTTGGCTCTTTTTGGGGTTGCGGGATCAAGGCTCTGGGTTTAGTGAGTGCAGCTTTTTAAAAGGCTTAGAAGTTTGTGGTCTAGGGCAAGGGTTTCGGGCTGTATGATTTACGGACGAGGTTTGAAGTTCATGCATGGTTCAGAAACAATTGTTACCCTGTGATCATAAGGGTCCTCATGTATTGAGATCTACATGCATCCTTGTTGGGTGGTAAAGCCAGGGTCGCAAGATCCGGATAGGTTTCGGATTTGGAGGATGTATTTGTCCCATAGTGCAAGCAAATCTAATACAAACCCAAATAATATATCTGGGGGGGCTGGGGTGGTGCTCAGGCAAGACACGATCTAAGCATCTGCTGCTATGACAGTTAGCCAGGCTACCGTGACATTGGGCCACAATCTTTGGCTGGTATCCATTCTGAGGTGCACGATTTGGGAGGTTGGGGGGGTGTCGACTGGGCACTAAGAGCCAGTCTGCTACTTCGACAACTACTGCTCCCTGCAACTTCTTCGTATGATCCCTCACCTTGACTACTACAACAAACCTTTGTGGAGTCTACTCAGGCAACGCAGCACGCGGCGGATGGAGCGGTTTCCATATCACAGATTCGAGCGTGTCTGTAGCAGCGCCGCAGCCCAGAGATATGCCGTGCTGAGTAAACTTGCCAAACTTCAGGCATTGGAGTTTCAAACCCGTCTTGGGGAGCTTAGTGCAGCTTCTCTTAAATACGGGAGTTTCACGTCCCTTGAAGCAGTCACCGCAATACAACAGTTGGGATTTGTTTTGTCCTGGACTAAAAGTCTCAAGGTTGTTCACCTTGAGTTTGGCATGCGAGACCTTAAGGGCAATCATCCTAGGCTGGCTGAAATTCAACCCTGGAAATCATTTAGTCTAGCAGCTGGAGGATGTGCACGCCAGATTGTTTTCCATACAATTTTAGGTTTTGGTGCCTGGAGAGGCTGTTAGGGCACGCTGCCCCCATGGCTTGGGAAGGCTTCCGTTTTTTCTGACCGTATTGTTTTTGGTTTTGGCGCTTGGAAAGGTTGCTGTGGGGTCTGGGGAATCGGAATTGCGAGAACATAATGTTTGGATGACATGCCCGGCTGACCCTTTAGAACTTGAGCCCTCGAATGCAATCTCCTGCCCGCTCGATGATGGCACGAGACTCTTTTGAGGTCAGCTTGCGCGCCTCCAAAAACCAACAAGGAGGGGGTTGGGGGGCACAACCCCATCCCTTTGCAAACATACTGATTGGATAACATGTTGCCCTGAATTTCTAAAAAACACTCTCAAGGGCGACCTTCTGCCAACACGGTGATGGGACCAGGCTCTTACACAAGCTGCGCTTGCTGTGGAGGAGTGTGGGCTTTTTTTGGTGTCAGCTCGCGCGGCTAAAGCAAAGCGGGGGCGAGGGGTTTGGGGGCGCAGCCCTTCCCATTTGCGCAGGCACAGTGATTGGATAACCCGTTGCCCGGGTGAACGCTTGGAAAATTTGAAGACAACCTCCTACCAATACGACGATGGGACGACTCTCTTTTCAGCTTGCACGGCTCAAAACGGCTTAAAAAAAGGGAGGGTTGGGGGGTTTCTTTCGTCATTTCTGTCTTTTTTGTCTATCTTTCTGTCTTTCTTCCTTCCTTCAATTTTTCCTGTCTTTCTTTTCTTGCTTTGTTTGTGTCTTTTTTCTTTATGTCTCTCTTTTTCCTTCCTTCTTGTTCTTCCCTTGTTTTCTTCGTTCTTTTTTGATTCCTTGCTTTCGTCTTTCTTTCTATCTTCCATTCATTCTTTCTGTTTTCTCCTGTTCTTTCCTTTCTTTCTCCTCTTTCTTTCTGCGTTTCTTCTCTTTCTTTCCCTTGTTCTTCCTTACTTTCCTCTTTTTCTAGAGGCTGCACTCTCCTGTCTTTTTTCTCATTCATTCATTCATTCTTCTCTTTTTTCCTTCTGGTTCTTTCTGTTCTTCCTTCTCTCTGTCTGTCTGTCGCCGCAAATCGACCTCTCAAAACCAGGAAAATACGAAACATGAAGCCCAAAAATACCAAAAAAAAAAACATTTTAAAGTACTGCTCAAACATCTAGAGCACTTGCCAACCCCTTACGGCCCCTTACTTAGCGGCTTCAGACTCTTTGTAATTGATGATCAGGCGTGCTAATTCGGCCTTCACAACTTTACTGATTGCGGACAGGAGTTTCGTATCCAGGGCCAAGAATTTCCGTGGATCACTCAACCAGCGTCTGATTCTTGGTGTACACATCTTGAACCCAAGCAAAGGTTTCATTAGGCCTGTCTGAGGCTGCGCGGATGGCCTCGCGAGCGGCGACCCTCCGCGATCTGTAAGTTTCTGGGGTTGGAAAGTCCAGGAACTTGATCGTCTCTCTTTGGTGTTGGGTCTGCGGTCTTCATCACCCTTGTTCAACATGGACTGCAAGGCTTTGACAAAGAGATTCTCGAGTGATGGCTGTTCAACGACTGCAACGGGGACGTCCTTACTCGAAGCAGCACGTTCCTCACGGGAGGTGGTGTTCCCGGAGTTGATGGGAATTGCCTGCCTTGCAAACATTCTCTTCATTCTTCAGGAACGTGGTAAGGATCAGGAAGATGACCAATGAGTTCTCTGCGGAGACTAGCTGGGCTGTGTACCTTAGTAGGTCTGTTCCTTGCGGAAAGCTTTCCTCGGGAGCAGAGATATTTGACTCCTGTTGAAGATCGGACAGCCTCACCAAGTTGCCTTCGCAGCTCCGCATTCTTCTCCGAAAGGTCCCGAATCAATGAATGAAACTCTACCTCCTCCATAGCAATGACACGTTTGTGATTTTTTAAGGGCTTCAAACTCACTTTTGAATTTGCCAGACAAGAAAGAGATAGTTTCAGAAGGGTTTGTGTCAAATGCCCTTCTCATCTCTAGCATTTCCACATTCTGCCTGTCTACCCTTTCGGACACTTCGACAAAACGATTAGTGAGGTCTTCTGTATGCCGCTCTATCAACAAAGCTTCTTGTCTCTTTATCTCATGTGCTTCCTGAGCCGATCTCAGCTCAGACTTCATTTCATCAGCGAAAATTGTCAAATTTGTCGACCAAGGAGGAAATCATGTTATGATGCTGCCGGTCCGCGAATTGTCTGAGTTTTTGCATCTTTCCGAGCAGAGTCCTCATACTGCCTAAAATGGAGCTCTGCAGCAAGTCGAACAGCATGAGCCGTGCATGAGTTTCATTGTCCTAACGTCAACATATGTTGTTGGTTCTGCATCAGGGGGACCATGCATGTCTACGTCAGGTGCAGTCGCCAAAGATGGACCAGTAGGTACCGGCTCATTACGAGCATCAACTGCAGTAGTCGGCAAGGCAAGAGCCATCGTTGACTGCTAACTACGACCGCTAGCCTGTTGTTACAGGATTCAGCACTGAAAAGACAAGCAGCTACCGGTAAGTCAAGCCTTTTTGTCACTGGTGACTTGAACAATCAGCAACGCGTTTAACCATAGAAGCATGGAAAGTGCGGACCACGAAATAGCTACCTAGCTTACATAAGTAGCACCAAAAATAGCTAAACTACCCAGGGTGAAAACAATTATCTTAAACGAATTCTAGTGGCTGCCTTGTTCCGTTCTTTGTCAGGTTATGACAAGCCTACATGCGACTTCCTCGCTCCAGAACCATCAAGGATCAAGGGTCTCAACACCGTCTTGTGGCCCTAAGCCAAATGAGCCAAGCCGCAAGTCTGGCTACGAAGCCGTGCGTTGCTCCTTTTGCTGCTCGAAAGCCTCTTCAGGGTCGCTATCAGACTGAGCTATATAAGGTTCAAGGGCTCGGGATGGGGGGTGTTGTCGCCGTGATTCGAATTGTCCATGCAGATTATCTTGTCACTTGCTGTATATCGCTTTGGAACATAGCCGTGGAATTCCGCAGCAACTATCGGTGGAACCCGTCGAGACTTGATGGATGGCTTTCAAAGATGTATTGCAAATATGTAGATGCATCAGCAAAGCATCTATTCGAGATTCCACATGAAAGGTTCAGGGATACGTCTTAACAACCCTGAGATCTTCACATGCGCCGTGATATGCCCTTGCACCAAAAAAAACCTTGAAATGTTGTGTTCACACAAACTTTTCCGGCATCCAAGATTTTGCAACTCTCGCCTATCAACGTTTGGAAACACAATTTCCTAGCGCGTTACAGGCTAATCTTGAGAGGGTTCACGAGGGCATCCTTGTACAAAGCTTCCGGACATGGATTCCATCACAGTAGTCTTTGTGGATGTCGCCGTGCTACAAATGATGCACACACGCCCATGACGTGTCCCTGCAAGTTGAAACCAGCTAATGCCTGCTTTGATTGCAAGTCCTGTAAACATGAAGATCTCACGCGGGGGGTAATCGACAGAAATTTTGAATACACTTCTGGAGATTTTCAAATTGCAGGTTAGCACATACGGTAGCCAGGCGTGTCTGCAGTATCCATAGGAACATCTGTGGAACCTTTCCGAGAGCCTTTTGGAAATTGAAGCTGAAACTCTACATGAAGTACTACATTGCAGTCCTGCGAAGCCCCCGATAATTCTCGATCACTTCTATATGCAGTAGTTGGAGAGTCGTGCATTTCTTGATACGACCTATTCAGGATTCGCCCGAAACCTTGGGCATCTGTGTGATTCATGACAATGTTCGCGTAGAATCCTGACTTCTCTCATGAAACTCTGCACAAGGTTTGACACTTCTTCAATACCTAGTGCCCAAATCAATCCATGCGAGAAACTCAGACCATCGAGAAATTACCACATGTAAGGACTCTTTCGGGGACACCTCTTGGACTTGGGTGACTGAATCTTGGAAAATCTTCGGGCACGCTTAATTCATGGGTCTGCAAAATTCTCACAGGTACCCGTGCTGTTCGGTTGACTCTCGCAGTTTTGAGGACTTGGGGGTTTGAGGTCATCCTTGCCGGTCTGCAGCTGAATTTTCTGCCGTTCCTTCCGCATCAATCATGTCTGTCTGATGGCGCAAGTCTAAGAAGATTGAAGGATTGAACTCGCATGGAGGGACTTCCAAAGATCATGCAATGGTCCGGACAAAGCAGCTCATGTAGAGCCCTAAGTGACCAGAATATTGAATCGGTTCATTGGGTTTTATACTATAGTTATGATTGGATCAGGAGATGGCGATCCCAATGCTTCAGGCTCCTACATTACTTGGCACATGGAAGTCTCGCCAAGCGAAAGTCTTCAGTGGCGCCTGTGTACTGGAGCTTGTTGCTCCTCAGACCACAACACATCTCCAATCAGCAGCAAATGCCTGTGTACAAAATGTAGCCCCTGTAGCCCTTATTCTAACGGTCCATCAAAAACAGAGAACACCTTCTATGTCCAATATGAAGTCAACTCTGCCCAAGCCAAAGGAACCTGAAGTCAAGAAGGTGATCACCCTGGTACCTTTATAGCATCAAGAAATCAAATTGCTTTGTTAACCTGAACCTCAACCCTGATGTCACGCAACCTCCTCTTCCATGAGCTGGCGCTTGCTTCTTGCCCTTCAAAAGCCAAGAACATGGAGAGGGCTGCTTACCTTCCTTTAGTGGATCGAATGTAGAAAATGGGTAAGATCGAAGACACTCAAATACAATCTCTTTTTCAAAATTGTCAAGGCTAAGGATATCGTAAATGTGCAGACTTCTAATCTCTGGCTTGAATTTCCAATTTCAGAAAAGTAGCTGTAAGTGCCATACTTCCCAAGTCTCGCAAAGCGGCTTTCCGAGACCTGCTTAACCGTACCCAATCCCGAAAAGCCACAGCAAAATGCACAGCAAAAAAAACAAGAGTCTGTGGGTAAATGGCCAGGATGCCAGGAGTCTCATTTTTTTTTTGTTTTCTGGCTTTTGGTGGAACGGAAATGTGGGCGTGTACACAGCAAGTCTGCGGCATTTTCCTTGCCATGTTTTGTTTTTGATGTTGTGTTTGTAAGAGAACTCTTCTAATGATAAGAATCATAATGCGCACTCTCGCAGTGTCCCATTCTGAGAACATAGTAATAACAGTAATAAAAGCAATAGAAGTGCTAGAGTTGCTAACAGGCATGCACAAATGCATGTGGTACGACGTGTTGTGGACAGGGCCACTCACGCTGAAATGAACTTGTTTATAAGGAGCCCTTTGCATCTCAAAAACTCTGCGCACTGCGATCCCACACCTAAAACAAGGACCCAAGCCAAGAAACATGATTCTTGATTCCACTAATCTGAAGATTGAACTCTAGGGTATCCGTGGACGCGGCCTAAGCTCCCTCACTACGATCCCTGAAACCTCTTATTCATGCTTCTGGGTGCGCGCAAGCTTGTTGGAAGGTCAGCCGCACACATACATTTGACTTCCATATTTGACTTCATGACAACCTTATACCCACAAAAACAACAACATGAAGCGCTTAGTGGGGCGTTTGACAAACCTCATGTTGTTTAGCCCCGAATGGATTGAGCGGTGTACTGGCGCCTTACTTGCTAGCCCAACCCGATGTAACGGCCGGCCAGACAAAGCTGAGAAGGTGTACGTCCAGGGTTCAGGGCACAAGAATCTGAAATCCGACGGGGAACCACCCACTTGGTGCCATTTCATGTGATGCAAACACCTGAATAACTAGGAGGGTTCTCGCTGTATGCTCCTCCTATGCTTGTCATATAATGTATACCTAATCCTCATATGAGTTTTTGGCCACAACACTACCCTGGGCATCTTAAACTGTGCAACCACGTTGCTTCGTGGGCATCTTTGCCTTCTGGCAAGGGTACTTGTCGAGAGATAAGGCTAGATGGGTGGCTCTTCAGCGTCGATCTAGGCCTCATGTTGGGGGTTGGTACAAAAAGGAGGAGGCAGGCTACCACTTCATAAATTTTAGCAAATGAGAATAAGCGTCTTCAATGTGATATGCCGATGGCCAGGAACTTCCCCAGATACTTGCAATTGTGCCAGTAATGCAAGCAGCGGTACGCGTTGACCCAGGAAAAGGGCTGGTTTGCAGATCCGGTGTGTTAGTAGCGATCAGGTTTAGAGATTTGGGATTATGATTTATGATATGCAGGGGCTTAAATTCCAGTTTTTTCGAGCGGTAGAGGGAGTAGCCGGATGTAGCTTGATGATGCTACGAGCGACAAGGAATACCATCGTGATACTGAACATAAATGTAATCATACTCACAGCACAAGCTTTTCTCGAAAGTGAACTTGCTGAGAAGATTGTCATGCTGATCCAAACAAAAGAAGCTATGCTGGATTATGGATTGGCGGCCTTACTTCATCTAAACTTTGGCAGGCGCATAAATCTCATGTCGGTCCCTGTCTAATCAAGCTTGGTTCCATAAGGATCCAGCTTTAAGCATCCTTGGTATTGGTATTGTCTTTTGTTAAGGAAGAGGAAATGGATAGGGGTCTCGACATCGCACTGCTTTGCATGGGGTTTTCGCATTCACCGAAGACTGCCTCAGCTGGAAAAATCAGCTTCGTTTCTCTGTCACAAAAGCAAAGAACTTCCCGCGTACCCCGGCAGAACGACCATCTGTACTTATCATGGCGCAGCCGCTGCCCAGCCCCTTCCTGAGCACCTTCAATGATTCCAATAACGAAAAACCTACAACAAAACGCGAAGATCAGTACAAAAACTGGCGCGAGACATCGGGAACGACAGGTAACAGTTTTGACAAAAAGCTGCCTTGGCTTCCTTCGAAGCCGGCTTGTCCGTCAAGGCCTTGGCCTCAAAGCAAGTCGTTCAGCAACTGGGACTCCGTTTTGGATACGCTTGATGTGTACATTAACGAACCTAACTCTTTTGAAGCTGCCCAGCATATTATCTGAAACTATGCTGTCCTCATCTTCACTATGACGACGACTATTAATCACTACTGCGAAAGAATTGAGTTTGTCTCTCAAACTGCAGGCCCAAGCTCTGAACCCTGAACCCTGAAACCCAAACCCCCAAACTCTTCCGCGGCTGAGGCCAGCACTGCGGCAGTTCGTAAGCGCGGGTCCTGTCGCGATTTGGCGGTTTCTTCGCAAAGGTTGAAGGGCAAAGGATACAAGCATATAAATGTGTAGGTTGACACCAAGATTTGGAAGATTCCACATCCGAAGCCGGCTTAGCCGACTCCCAAGCTGCTGTGTACTGACCCTAAGAGATTCCTTGTAAGCGCCGCAGAGGGGTCTGTGGCCTTGATGTTTCGGCTGGGCCACAGCTGTCAGAACAGACATGATTGCTCACAACGCTATTGCACTTTTCTTGGCAGGCCTGGATGGCTAGTTAGTCAAAGCCGTGCTGAAGCCGCTCTTGGAGTTGAGGTTTGTGTAGCCTCTGCGTTGCGGTCAGCGGCCAACACATGCGCACCCCGTAGGCCTGTTAAAAAGCAGTTGAAGCCAATGGCAACTTCTATTCGATGTCATAGCACTGCCGACACCGAGTAGGAAAGGATGGTCCCAATCGCTCTTAAACCTAAGTCAGCATCCGACGCTGAAACCACTTGCGTGCTCACTTCTGGAAATCGTCGCTGCCCGAAACCACGACACCGCCTATTGGCGCCGTGGTGCGTTCTTGCCTGCCTACAACTGTCGGGGGCACGAATGCCCGGCCGATAGCGCTGTGCATTCTCGATTTCTTCGTTTCGTGGTTGGCGGCATCAGCCGGAGGCTCTTAAGCCTGAGAAACTCTCAAACCTGGACATGTCCCTAGGTGGGTTTGTGACCGTGCATGTCTGAAGTTGTAGTTCAGACTCTGGAGATCAAGGGGCTTTTGGAAAAACATTTTTACGTATAGACGGCTTTGAGGCATTCTGAAATTCAAGATTTAGGTGCTTTAAGGTCCAGGCTTTCATAGGCGTGCTGCTGATGGCAACAGCACTTCAAGCTGATCCTCTCGTAAGATTTGTTTGTCTTCATCCACCTCCAAGCCCAGCACCGTGGAAGACAAGTCAAGACAAGGAGCTAGCATCTTCGATCTAGCTTGCAAAGTCTCCAAATACTCTTCTACAAGTCCTCCTGGTAGGCAAGAACCCTTCTTACATTACCTTCGGAAGGGCAGTTTCGCTTTCCACATCATCTTGAAGGCAAGGTAAAGATCAACAGCAGCGCAGGTACTGTTCTTCCCTGATGACACCATCGTAACCCTGTTTTGGACTGCTCAGGTGCTTCAGATTGCACAACGTGCCCCTCACAAAAACTCACCAAATCTTCTACGAGTCTGAGCCCTGTGCTGCCAATTTCTTATGCAGCTGCAAGGCAAAAACAACAAAGTGTGAGATCACCGAAACGTATCGCCTGATAGTATGATGATTCTTTTTGCAACTGTTCTTATCAACACGTTGATACTTCCTTCTAATATTCTCACTATGACAACGTCACCTCAATCTCAGCATTGAGTACAACTAAATGAACACCCGTAACAGTAGACCGTTCAGTTCGCATGAAGTGTTGCGCAACCCTGTATCATCCTATATCATGCCCTGCAACCTCTCAAGGGGCTGGAAAGCATGCCTTCTCCATCAGCTTCGCAACGTCGGGCTGCATACGACGCTTCGCTTCATGTTGGAGCCTAGGCTATCCGTGAGCAAGCCTACTGACTTGGAGCATGAATTGGATCATACAGGATTACATAAGGAGCATTGGGGCTTATCTGGAATGCGAAGGTTGCGGGGCTTTGAGGCTTTTAGCAGGCCCGCGGTTCCAGTCGCTGTTCATATCTCCGGACTCCGGAGCTCCTGCACGTCGAGCCGAATCATCGCTTGGTCATCTCGAGGAGGGTTCAGTGCAAATCGTTGCACAATCTTGCTCAACATCGCACCCTGGTGCCACCTTCTTTCTTAGACACAGGCCTTCACAAACATTCTGAATCGTGAGCTTTCTGAACCCATAGGACGAGGAGAAGCGTAAGTTCCTTACACGGCCGCAAGCCACTTGAGCCGTTTCCGGCGGTGGGAGACAGACCTTGTCAGCTGCATTGATTTCTCTTTAGGAGGGGCTACACGGTGTCTATCAACTGCCCAAGACCAGGTTGTTGGCTTGATTGAGGGCGAGGAGACGGTGGAAGCTTAGAAGGACAGGTCGTTTTGGGGACCTGAGGAAGCGCAGTCATGCCTAAGTACTATGTGTTGCAGCCGGGGCAATGATATTGTTGCAGCTTCTAAGCCCAAGCCTGAACGCTGAAATCAGGGCTGCTAGTGCTAGTTACTCAACATTCAGTCAGGCTTCTCCCTTACGGTCACTTCAGGATGTTTCTTTGCTACGTTCCTCAGGAGGTTCTGCCCCAGCTGTTCTGGTTTTGCCCTAGCCACAGATTGAAAGGTCTAGGTTTTCGAGTTTCAAGTTTGTTATTGATGGTGTAAGCTTCAGTGTCTCTAGCTTAGGGTTTGCGGGTTGCCGGTTTGCAAATTCGCAGTTGGCCATTTCTCATGAAGTTGCATCATCAGCGTGACACTGCATGCAATACACATAGCTGCCACAAATATCCGAATGAACTTGCAAGCAGAAGGAATTGGGTGACCAACAGACTAGCTGACAGCTACTATGTCATAAGAGTGATCTGCACAAGCAATGCTTTGATTGTCATCCTATGGTCTGAAAGCACCCTTCAACAACACAGAAGTGCTGTAAAACAGTCATCAACTCTTAGCCACGCTCCCAAACGACGACACGCCATTTATGCTTGCGTGCTGGCAAGACCTCCCCACTCCTCCTGTCGTATGGTGCGGTTGCGTTGGGTCATGGGGATAAATACATGAGGTAATATATACGGGCTGATGTAAAGAATCAGAGCTGAACCTAGAATAGGAATCGTTAGAAGAAAGAGTTATAGAGAGCACAGCAAGATCTCTAGACTTTAGGGAATTAAAGAGATTACGATGACTGTATAGAGATCTGTAGCGGCTTCATGGAGCATTTTACAAGGAGCAAGCGCAAACGCATACATACAATATCTACATATATATATATATAGATATGCATGTACGCACTCACGAGATTCCAAAGGAATCGAGAAGCTTACCTCATATCATGTAGCATACAAGCTGAACCCTTCCAGGTAGTGCGGGCTCGTGCACGGTCTGACGCAACTAGAATACGTGTTGAAAAGGGGCTGCAGGTTCGAGAAGGTGCTGCAGATTCATAAGGAGCATCATGGACATGTTGACTGGGATTCGTATCAGGAGTGCTGGAGCTGACTTCTGGGGCTAGGGTCGTGGTCATTTTTTGAAACCTACCAGAAACACGTATGGAAGAATACACAGACTAGAGTGCTTTTCTAAAGAGGCCTACGTGGGTTTCTGTGTTTGTGTGGACCCAGTTTAAACAACCAGCACCCCAGGACCCAGACCGCTGTCCAAACCAGTGTCTGTGCGCAGCGAGTCCTGCAAAGAAAAGGTCGGGGCACTCTATATATGGAGCTGTCACAAAATCAAATTAAGGCTCCATGGAATTTGTGGGTGGCATGGAGAAATCATGAGGGATTCTTTGTCCTCCAAAAGCAGGTTTTGGGTTCAAAAGGCCCACCTGGCTCTAAGCAATGCACCCAAGTCTTCAAAAAACCTTTCCTGCCTGTGGCCCAGGTAAAATGCACCATCCAAATGGCTTGTAAGGGGACTTTTAATGCATCCTCTACTAGCTATACAAATGCTGGGAAGGACCTTGAATGGCAGCTCTTGGTCTATCTTGAGCGTGAAAGCCTGATAGAATGCAAAAGGCCCGACCACCTACTGATACTTTCCGGATAATGCCTCACACATGCACGCTTTAGGATATGGCGCAGCTGTCGCAAGCTTTTGTTCAATTGTTATGGGAGCATGCAGAAACAACACCTACTGAAGGGATCCGCTTCTTCCCTTTATTGCTGTGACATGCATTCTCCAGTTGACATGCCAAGTTCCAATAACACACGTTACAAGCCTGCAACTCTACCCATCCCTGGTTCTCGTTGCTGCCGTTTCTATTGAGCTGCATGTCGACATGCTTTCGAAGGGGGCGGCTTCAGCTTCAAGCCTACCAAGCAGCCAAACTCACAGATGCCTGAGGAAAATAGCCTTAAAGGGGTCCACATCAGCAAGCCATGTAATGTCTTATCAAGGCTAGATTTCGTCATACTCTGCTTTACGCTGAAGTGTACGGACAAAGTCTATTCGAATCTCTAATCAAAGAGTGATGTCTGAGGGTGACCATCGGCAAGACTTGTAGATTTCTCGGTTTGAGGCTTAAGGCTCAGGACGATTGAGAGCATTTGTGGTCATAACTTGCATGGGTTTCATGACGTACAGGCTCGCTTGGGTAATGCCAAAATGTGTACCTACCCAAGCACACGTTGGAAACAAGACTCTTTTTTTGTTTTGTGTTTCTTGCATAGGCCGCTATTCCCAAATCGCAAAACGTGGGGCAGCAAAAGCCCAGAAAGAAGTCTCCTAGTCCAGCCAGGGCAGTGTTGGACTGAAGCAAGTGCAGGAGATACCTTATCAGGGTTCAGGCATTTACGGCTTAGTTCTTGTTGTTGAATTCTTGGTTGAGGGTTCTCACGGCTTGATTTTCCAACCAAAATGTGGCGGCTTTGGGCCCGGTTTGCATCTTTAAACGACTGCGCCGAAAGGAATTTTGTAAGCTAAGCAAAGAGGGTCATAGCTTTTGCAACCTCCGTGCACTCATGGATACTACATGGTACCCCTTCTTCAAGGCCCTGCGGGACCTGAGTTTGGAGAAGGAATCATGCAGCAACCTCTTCACACACTGTGGTACACACCTCACGTTCAACCGAAGTTGGTTTACCTACAAACCTAAACTGGAGTGCATACATTCCACGTGCATTCCCTGTTCCCCCACTCAAGAACCTGTGGCTGTGGCTGATCTATCAAACAAGGCCTGAGTAGTCTGAATCGTATTGTTTTGAAAGCTCGGGAAACGATATCACCAATTTCTCAGGCTCTTATGTTACCCGCGAGTGGCTTTGTAAGGATCTTAGGGGAAGCCTGGTTCATGAGGGATGAGAGAAGTGAGCGTGGGGTTCAAAGTCGTTGGAATGCCAGAACCAAAGGTTTCTACAATGCCATCTAGTCTGATGGCGAACTTCCAAAAAAACTCTCGCGTCCCCACAGCGACCCACAAAGTCTAGACCAAGTGTGCTAAACTGCTTCGATTTCTTGACATTTCCAATGTTCCCAACTATTCACAAGCACTTCTCACAGACCTGTTCCACATCTTCTTGTGAAGTTGAAGATTCCCAATGTAATTAGTACTCTTAAGAGTTCGGATGCAACTTTCCTTTCTTGTATTGTTAATTCGAAGTGAGCCTAGTGCAAGCAAACTCGCGCCAGTGAGATGTGCAGAAAGCTTCGCAAGTGCTGCGCAAGCGAGTTTTCAAACTTGGCCACTGCAAGGGCCTCAACAGTAACTGTGGGCTTTGCTGCATACCAACCTGCAATTGTAGTAGCCACCGTCATAATACAAAAAATCCAAAACAAGCACCCATTCCGGTTACCCAAAGCTAGTCCCCAAAACACGGGAGGCAGCAGCCGAAAGGCCCCGACAACACCCAGTCATCCTTAATGTGTCAAGACTTTAAGCATCCAAGGTCAATGCCTTTTCTTTTGCCCTCGCCGCGAAAGTGCTTACTAAGCCCCAAGCTCTACATCCTGAAGTCATCAGGCCTCACACTTCCCAAACTCCCAAACAGGTGGGCTCATACATTTCGCTGAGGCTGGAGCTCAATCAAGAAAATCCCGCAATCGAAGCCTGGGATAACGAGAACAAAGCATTCTGCAACTCCCATAGTTCCCAGCATTCAGGCAGCCTGAAGCCACGAAGGACGTTCAGCATTAATGCTACCAATCCTGCATGATGCCACTTCAAAAACCTTGGATCAGGAATGCCATGCAGGCTTTGTGGTATCAACAATGGTAGCTGGAAAATGCTGCACCTGACGATTGCACCCTTGGGGGACCTTTTTAAATCTTCGCTGGCTTGGTGGACCTCCTAATGACACGAATGCTGGCATTTTGGGCGATGTTTGTGGGCCCCAGTCCAATTTCCCGACCAAGCTATAGAATGTTGTGCTACGGCCCACCCCAAAAAAGGTCTATATGAACTCCAAATCCTAAAGCTTAAAACCAAAACCGCAAATCCTGTTATTGTGACATTCCTGGTTCTGAGCATTTGGCTGTTGGCCTGTTTCGGGACATCGGCTTCGACCACCTGGCAATTGCTCGGGGCTCCTTTCTCATTCAATCTGCCCACCTTTTGCGAAAACACCAAAACTTTCACGACGATACTCTTGCACTCCACTACTTCCAAGGTTTGGGGCTTGAACTTTTGAGGCACATGTTGGGCTTCCAATTCGCTGCCAAAGTGGGTTTGAGATGAAGCACCTAAGAATTTTCCAAGCACGTTTCGTCCCAGAACAGCACAAGCATTCCAAGTCGGGAAAACTACCCATGCATGTTTGGAGTTGTCTGGTTGAGCCAGGTATGCATGCCGTTGTACCACTGTAGCATAGCAGGGCTAGCGGCGCATGGTAATGTGCCTGACCCATGCGCTCCTAAAAAAAAGCTGGTCTTGAAGGGAATCGGTCATGAATCACACATGGAGGACGAAAGCCTTGAAACTGAATTGTTGTATCCAAATGGCGGAAAACTACGTCAAGGACAATGCCGGCGTGCGGTTCTTGAGAAATCAGCACCAGAAAGTCTCCAAACGTTTGTTGGATCCATTGGGTGGCTGGATTTTGAGTCTCCACCCTACAGGGAGCTCTCGCCAACCTTTTCCGGTTTTGCATAAAAAACACTTTTCCAGAACGCTGATCGACTCTCGGTGTTGACCTGCATTATACAAGAAACTGTTATCACTATCCCGGGGAGCTTCTACGTACCAATATCCCAAACCAGAATCTGAAAAGGAGTCCTTTACAAGAGCTCTCTTCGAAAGGTTCCCTTTTAGCTTCAATGCTTGTTGGGAGGAGCATACATTAGCACAAGAATAACACAGCTTCCTCTCTAGAAACTGCGGCTCAAATTATAGGCAAACTTTCGGAATCTCCAGCCACATTCATTGCCGTATGCTGCGTTCAAAAAAGGGGTATTCGCAAACATACATAAGGAGATTTATGCTACCAACTATCCGGATTGCTCACTCCCTTCACTTGGCCTTCAAGCGTCCAGACACCTGCATCACAAGTGGGAGGTGATCAACCCTTTTTTGAAGAAATTACATTTCAGGGATTAGGGGGCCTTTTTTTGGTAGAAAGGTCACCAGGAACTACTTGATTTGAAGGTCTCTGATCCCCTTTTTCCAAAAACATCTCGGATGTTGGGTTCTCGTTTAGGTTCAAAGGGTGGGCGCGATACAGTAGGTACGCTAGGGGTACGCTAGGGGCGCGAGGGGGGCCGCGATACGGTAGGTACGGTAGGGGTACGGTAGGGGTAAGGTAGGGGTATGGTAGGGGTACGCTAAAGGTGCGCTAAAGGTACGCTAGGGGTGCGATCCGCTAAAGGTGCGGTTGTGAAGGGGGCGGTGCTAGCAGGGGGGGCCGCAATGCGGTAGGTAGGCTAACATGAAGATGCTGTGGGGAATTAGGGGGGTGAGGTTATGGGTACGCTAGGGGTGCGCGTTGGGGTCGTGAAGGGGGCGGTGAAGGGGGTGGTGCTAGCAGGACAGTAGGTATGCTAGGGCTATGCTAGGGGTACGCTAGGGGTGCTAGCGGGGGGCCGCGATACGGGTAGGTATGCTAGGGGTACGCGGCCCCTTGAAGCGACCGACGGTGCAGCGCAGCAGCATGGCCTCGTAGGCGGCGCCCGGCAGCGTCACGTGGTGGTGCGGGTCCAGGCGAACTCTTGGAAGAACGCATCGCGGAAGGTCTCCATGACGTCCGCCAGCGCCAGGTCCACAAGTCGTTGCGGTCAAGGGGGCGGTACTAGCAAGGGGGGCCGCGGGGTCGCTGCGGGTATGCTGGGGTGGGCTAGCAGGGGGGCCTTTCTGCCAGCTTCCTGCCAAACACTGTGCAAAATGCGCTCCGGACGCTGGTCTGGGTCTTCTGGTGTCCAAAAGGCGCTCGGGAAGGGGCCAGGGCATTTGGGAGGCAAAATGCGCTCCGGGATGGGGCTGGCTCTTGGGGCCGTGAGCAGTGTGCAAAATGCGTTCCGGGACGGGGAGGGCATTTTTGAGGCAGCACCGGCTGACGCTCTTGATGCTGGGTCTATAAGACTCGTTCTTCGCGGAGAAGCGCAAGGTGGGAGTGCAAGGATTGGGCGACGGAGAGGGTCCGGAGGGGGCGCGCAAGTCGACGCAGTAAGAGTCAGTAAAAGGGCGCGCGAGCATTCAGGGGTATCGCAGTAGGGATAAGGTGGGCCGGCTGCGGGCGGGGTATGGGCGAGGCTGACGAGATCGGGTTAATGTTCTCAGCCTCCGGCTGCAACCCTTTCGGTCTTGATTGTGCTCCGGATTGTTTTTGGGTTCCTGGCCTGACCTTGTTTTTCGAAGCGACGGTTTGACTGCCAAAGCATCCACGTCTCGTTTAGTTCAACAACTCCAACCTTCTATGCTTCCAGAGCTGCAAAGCTGATTTGGAAACCCACTTTGTGTGATGCTGGAATTCTGTGGCGCCCACTGTCTTGCGAGGATGATTCCGTTTTTGCGGAGTTTGGGGGAATGTAGCTCGGACTAAGCTCGCCAGGTTCAGGAGTAAGGTCCTGGCCCACGCACAGAGCAAGGCCGTAATTTTTCTAATTCGGCCCGTTTCCCCCTCATAACCACCCTTACGCCATCATAGGTTGCTATTAAGGACCTAGCACAAATCTTCCTCACCTTCTGAAAGTTGAGGATCATGATAATTTGGTTTAGCAAAGTCATTCACGATGCTTACTATCAGCAGCGTGATGAGAAAGGGTGATACCATCATGATGACACGACGACAGCCTATGTTCCTATAGCCAGTCAATTGACGGGCCCAACTAACTAGAACTGCACAGGAAGCACGTAGCGACAGCACCCGTTGTTCAGGCTCCAGCAGTACATGAGCTATAGTCTAAACTAAACTCCTAGTATCCCCCTGAGACACCCCTGTAATACTCGCTGATATAAGCCCTATAACATGTTTTTTTTTTACATATGCACCGCGAAAGCAACAATGATTGTTCTAGCAACTCACCAACAGGACCCGTAATGATCAGCCACATCACGAGTTTGACGCAGTTTACATCCAAGCTTTGTGGACTGGGGGCTACCTGGATCCTCAGTCCTTGGTTTTGTTTGCCTCGGTCCCACTCTACTTCAACCTCTTCCAAAGCAAATTAAGGCTAGAATCGGGCTTCACATCTAACCTACTTGTGATTCTCCCTGATCGCTTGAAACTCCCGCCACAACCCTGTAAGGAGTGCGGCCCTGATCAGGAGCTGCGAGCAGCAATGCTTGGAAACGAGCACAGAACGATAGTGCAATCCATAATGATTATGAGAGATATCGAGACATGTACTGGCTGTCTGGCTATAAGTTGAGCATGTCCCTACCTAAAACGTACGCAAACTGCAGGAGCCTTGCCTAGGTTATAGCCTGAACTTTTTTTTACTGAGCTGAAGTGAAGCCTTGTAAGAGAAGTCCTGAAGCTCCGCTCTTAATCTTGACCCCCCCATCTCCTCCCAAACTGCTGTATCATGATTGTCTCCCGGAGCCTTGTCTAATTTCTGAGCCCACTGGGCGGCATCTGCAAGACTGTCAGCCTCGTCGCTGTGAACAGAAGCTCCCAACCGCACACAAAGTAGTGCTACCAGGTATATGGGTTGTTTGTGAGATCCCACTAGATGCCCCTGAAAGAAATTCGAACAGATGCATGGCACCGCAAAAAAGAGGTAGTGCTGAGAAGGCCACATATGAACTTTGAGACCTGAGAGCAGTCCTTGATGAAAGGTATGGAAGTTCCCTCGGGCCTTCCAAGCAACATAAATATGAGGATCTTGAAGTAAACTTCTCTCGGCTCCGCTCCATGGGCCTTCTTTGTTCCTAACCATGAATATGCTTTTCTCATAGCAGCAAGATTATACTAAGTCAAGATCCTCACCCTTGCATAAGCATCAAACAAAGTAAATCGGCCAGGTACAGCGCTGACATCGGAGCGCAAGCATTGTTTGTGCAGGCTCCTGTGTTCTGAGCTCACCACGCCACCGTGTCTCTCGCACCATTCTTTCCACAAGTAGCCTTTGCGCCACACGATTTGCGGTTTGCGTTCTGTAAAGTTTAAGTCCTAAAAATGCTCACATTGCCCAGCAACAACAGCAGAAGTTTAGGGATTTTTGGGTTCTATGTAGGCAATGATCGTTCTCAGTTTTGTTACTAACATGGCTGAAGCAAGAATAATGCTGATGAGGGCTGCCTCTTTCCTATGTTGATGGCTAACATACGGCCACTGCCTTTCTCCAGACTCAGGAGTTTTCTACTTCTAAACTTCGAAATAAGACCCGAGCAGAGCCTGCAGTCTTTCAAGCCAACAACTATATCTCTTCAAGCATTCTGAACAAGGGCTTCCTGCGGAGAAGGGAAATATTGTGTTGAGAACAATCTAGAATCTGAACTCAAAGCACAAACCTCACAATTCCAAACCCGAAACTCAAATCCTAAATTTCAAGCTCCTGCTTCCTAAGCTTCCCCCCAAAACCGAAGCAGAAATTGACCCGTATACGTCCAGCCTCGCAGAAAGGCAACGACCCGCCCCTTCAGCGGTGGCTCGGGCGCGGAATCCAAACAAACGATGCGCGGCATCTGAGGTCGGCTGAGAGTTGGCAGTTTCTCAAGGTGAGCCCTCACAGAATTCTGAAAAGCAACCCCCTACAAAACTACATATCCACGAGGCCCTCGAAAAGCGCAAATGAACCTGCCTTCTGAAAAACACAAAATCCACACAAAGCATCATGGCTTCAACAAGGTTGGGGTGCAAAGTTCCAGAACTGTTTACGGAGACAGTCTTGGCCATTCCCTCTCAAGCACAAGAAAGCTAAGCCGCTTCTTGTGTTGTGGTCGCCTACTATTTTTGTGTCGCCGATATGAGGATTGAACTTATTGTCTTACTACTTCAAATGGTGCAGCCACAATTTCAGACATAAGCATGCCCCACGTGATGGTTGTGAGTCACGGTGTGCTCCCTAGATCTTTTTGCCGTTGCGGTGTGAGCCCTCACGAGCCTTGGGCGTCACCGTGTGATTCCTCAACAGTTTTGGCCATCACGCTGCGATCACTCAAGAGTTTTGGTTGTCATGGTGTGTGATCGCAAGACGCTGGGCGTCACGGCGTGATCCCTCAAGAGTCGTTTGCCGTCACAATGAGATCCGTTCGGAGTTTTGATCGTCACGGTGTGATTCTTTAAGCGTTTTGACCGTCTCATTTTGATCCCTTCGGAGTTTTGGGCACCGCGGGTGATCCCTCAAGAGTTTTGGCCATCACGGTGTGATTCCTCAAGAGTTTTGGCCTTTGCGGTGTGACCCTTCAAGCGTCTTGACTTGTGCTTCAGGGTGTGCTCCCTGGAGATTTTGGGCCATCGCATCATGCTCCCTCAGGAGTTTTGACTGTCACCGTGCCATCCCTCAAAAGTTTGGCACCCACGGTGTGATCCCTCAAGAGTTTCCTCAGGAGTTTGGGCCATCACGGTACGATCTCTCAAGACTTTTGGCCGTCACGCTGTGACCCCTCAAGAGTCCCGACCGTCCTGCGCGATCCGTCACGAGTTTTGGCCGTCACGGTGTGATCCCTCAAGAGTCAAGAGCTTTGCTGTCACATTGTGAGCCCTCAAGGGTAGATGTGTTAGGAGCCAGTCAAAGGCGCTGAGCACCAGCACTAATACTGGGGGGTCGAGGGGAAGGGATCAGAAAAGGTGCTGCTGCGTGGAAGTTCGGCCAGCCGTGCTGTAACATGAAGCATGCACTATGGGGAGGACTTGTATCAAGACTGAAGCAGTCATGAAAACCTTCAAGCTCGAGAACGGGCCTCTGCAAGAGACGGCTCGCCGCCAGGTTCATCAAGTGCCCGCTTTGCATGGCAAATGATTGCAAGCCTCGTGCAAAAATGTTTGGTGTTGTGTGGATTTGGGGTCGGGGATTGGCCAGGGGTTTACAAGGTTAGGTTAGGGATTGAGGCTGAGGGCACCAAAGAACTGAAGACTTTGTTCAACCAAGCGATAAGTCCATGTTATCAAGATTCCAAAGCAGGAGCAACTCTGGAAACGAGCAAACGAATTCAGCACCGAACAAATTGTGGACATCCTGCAACTCTTTGGAGCCACCGTAAGAGATGCACCTATACCATGAGAATGTTACGGGGCGCAAAACAAACCCTGGCCAAAACACGTGGAATGCATGACTGAAAGCAGGAGGACTATAGCTCTCATAATGGCACGAACTTCGGGAAGTCTCCTGGGCTCATACAGAGGAATCCAAACGATTGGAATATGTTCCACCGGCGCCCTCTCATCTTTGGAAACGATCAGTTAAACTTTCAATCTCAGGGGGGGATATCTCGCCGTAATTTCCACAAACAAGTCAAAATCCCAAGGCCGAAAGACCCTCAGCTCACCTGTAAATTCATTTTGCATTGACGGGGACAAGGGCTCTCGTGATGGATGTTTGTAACAAGGAACCCTTGCCCACCCTGAGCTTTGAATCCTATGGCTTTATGCTGTATTTCCTCAGGAAACGTTTGGACAGAAGCCGGCTAGCTACTAAGCATCTGAGGAGTCCCATGCCGGGAAGGGATCCGCACTGAAAGGGTGGTTGCCGAGGTGTGACGACTCAAATGCCGCGATGCATCATAGCTATTACAAAGGACTCTAGGCCCTTCCCGGGCTGTAGCTAGAAGAGCAGGCATTCTTTAAAGAAACTTGGAAATGTCAGGCCCTCAATCTGAGGGCCCCTAAGTCTGAGAACCTCTTTCACGTCTTTTGCCGTCATCTGGCCAGCAAGAGAATCTTCATTGTCATGTAGTGCGCAAGAACAGGACCTCAAGGCAATGGTTTTGTTTTCTCTGCTAATCATGACTCATCCCTTTCGCCTTTTCACCGTCTGGAACCCTGAAATTCAAACCGACAAGGGAGCCTAAATATCTTGAGGACATATGAAAAAATTGGGGCATGCTGGAAAGCATAGAAGTTCCATAGAAATAACCACTGACAAAGTTGTCCGGTACAAGGCTTGAGCATGCGTTACCCAAAGTATCATGCCGTGAACGCCATTGCTTGCCAGCATACGTCAATAAGCTTGCTGGCTTCCGAGTTGCAAGCTATGCGTCGATCCTTTGTGATTATTACTACTGAAACTTGCGAACATGGTAGCAAGAAACTTACTGTTCACACAACATCTGTACGCTTTTTACTCGAAGATGCTCTTGAACAACAGACAACCACATTCCGACAATCGTCTCGTGAACCCTCTAGTTGACGGCCAACATGCTTTTGCACATTTTGGTATCCTCGGCTACACACCTGGTTCCTTGACAGTCCTGGATTGAGATGCTTCTAGGGCCCGAATACATATGTTGGACTCCAACTATGCTTTACAGACTTTTGATCCTAGCAGAGAGCCTGGCACTTAATCCAGCAATCGCAAAGGAATTAAGCCATATGCCTCTGCCAGTATGTCATGAGCTACAAGGCCCGTGCCACCAATGAATGTTCTGCTCATTGATGGGCACAACCACATACCTGGAAAGATTTACATGCACATGGAAAGCTGATCATTCGGGTGCTCTGTGCTTAAACTGCTTAGAGTCATCATATGGTGATCGACATCCCGATGTCCCCTTCCCTTACCCAAACGAGCATGGTACTCCACATTCTGGCTTTGGAAAGGAAGGGACGATAATCCTTATGCGTTCCAGGTCTACTTTGAGGAGGGCATTTTAAACTGAGAAATTGTGAGATCTTCTAATTGGACCTTGGGTCCGCAAGGAGCATGGCACTTATGCCTGTGCTAGAGGCGTCGGGGTTAGGTTGTAGGTAGATGCCACTTTTCCAATTTGCTCCTAACACCCTCAGGTGCTTAGACTTTGTGCATAAGTAACGAAGGAAAACAAACTGGAGGCTACTGTAGTTGACCTCTCTGCGCAGTCCCGGCAGTCCACGGTGTAGGCACTCCAAAGAAATCTTGGCTCTGTTGAAACAATGTTGCTGTGGCAACCAAATGAAGAGGTGCAAGGGCGGTCTGTCTCAACGAATGAAGATGTGTTGTCTGTGCCGCAGTGTGAACTATCCCCATTTGCTCTTTGCTCAGCTTATGTCTCCCCACACATGGCCTGTGTCGAAGATGTAAGGCTTTTCATTCTGGGTATCTTCCAACTCAGAACCTAACCCTTCATCTGACCGGTAGAATCCTCAACTAAATGTACGCCCAGGCACATTTCACTCTATTGCATTCCATATGAAGACTGTTGCAATGCTAGCGTAGATGTATTGAGAATGGTCATATTGCAAAGCTTCCAGAAACGGCAGTAAAATTATCTGCAACCCTGATTTCGGCCTCAAGTGATGGGAAGGAAGCGTAATTAACTTTGCAAATATCCCTTAGTCAGAAAACTGAATCCACCCATAGGAGCCGGACATGATGCCTCTAGTGGATCTTGATTACAAAGCTTCTGTGCTGAGGGCTGAGGGTTCATTCACCTACTGCTACATCATACCAACCTTGTCCCCATACAAACAACCCACACATCCCCGCCCAAATCCTACAACACCAGCAACTGGCCGAGTAATCGGCTTCTGCCCCAGAAGGCCCCCTGGCAGTGACCTGAGCAAGATCCAAACACCAATGATCCGGGGTCTAAGGGTTTTTGCTTTAGCTGATTGAACATGTCGCGATCAGCCTTGCTGTTGTCACCATGACCGCCCGAAGTTTACATATGAGGCTCTTGGGCCACAGCTGCGATTGCCAGAGCCGTGCCTTTTAATGCATCTTACAGCTATTACATACTCGTTCTTGTTATGCTTTGTATGACTTGCTCATAACTCCTGTTCAGATGGCAGTGCTCCTATCCCAAAGCTAATGGTACTTGACTACTCTACTAAAACTTTCAGGGGCCAGGTCGTGCTTTTACCTATCCATTAGTTAAGCGTACTTGGCAATTTGGAGAAAAGCATAAACGATAGTACCAAGAATCATGCCAGAATCGCGCCCTCAGCAATCGCAACACCAGAAAAAATGACAAAAGCAGAAACCACCTTTGTCCTGAAAGGCTTGGCCGCCCGCCGGGTCCAGCGCCGGACGTTGTTCCATCCCTGCTCTCCATTCTCCTTTGAACGTTTGGAAAATGTGTGATTTAAGGAGGACTGGTCATGCAGGGCTTTACCTTACGACCCAAAATAGTCCCCTCGAGCCTGCTCAGAATGACCTCTCAAACCCTTGCACAAGCTCTCCAGACAATGTTCTCATACCAACAGGCCTGGACAATCTACACGAAAACCTGCGCGAGCCTAGCAATTGGGTCTCCTATATACATAACCCGAATCTCGGAACCCAAAACCAACAAAAGTGATCATGAAACAAACTGCTCTCATTTGCAGGCTGAGCAGCCCAACTTGGCCCAAGACTACGTGAAGTTGCGCCACGAAGCATAAACTTCCCCAAGCAGACACAGGGCTTACGCACCCTAATTAAACCCCATGCCAAACGTGGTCCATTGGTGCTCTGCTGACATGCCTTTTTGTGCATCGCGTGCTCTACTGCCATTCGCACAAACCACCAGATTGCTCACTCGCCTAAGATGTTGCAACAATTGTTTCTGTCCCGTCAGAATTAAAGACCCTAAAGAACGCCAAAGTTTGACAACCTTGTTTCCAACCAGCTAGGGCTCTCAAACAGGGTAGAACAAAAACATGTTGTGTTTGTTTCTTGCAAGGACTATAGAACGCCCTCTGGGTCTGCTACAACGCCACCAGATGTCAGCTTCTGGTAGAAGAACGTGCTAGCCATGTAGAACTCACCTGTGGGCAGGGTTTAGGATGGAGCAGGGGGCATCTTTCAAAATTTGTAGACAAGATTCCAGGGCATACTGCTGTCCCTCATCCGCATACAGGAGAGAGGGAAAGGATTTTGAGTACATTCTTCGAAAAGAGCCGTTCATCAAGATTTTGTCGGCGCCTCCGTCTTCTCCATTTCCATTTCTTCAGAATACCACAGGCGCGGTCGGTTGTGATTTTGCGCTCAGGTGACAAACAAAAACAACACCATACCAGCGGCAGAAAATTGTCAGCTTTGTCGCAATCATGCAGGGAAGCCCCTCCCCTCAGCATTCCTGGCTCAAACCTATAATCCACTTTTCCTTCCGATATACCCGTAAGGCCATGAAAGTGTTCATGAAACATGCCACAGCCCGCCCTGACGGAGGCTGTGCAAGCAGCTCACTACAGATTGGTAAGGAATGCCGGCAAATTTGAGGGATTCAGATTCAGGATTTACTGTAAGCACACTCTACGGGCTAGGGTCTATGTACTGAACGTCAATGGCCTGCTGTGTCTGACTGAGAGTCAAAGAAGTGTGTAGCGGTAGAGCAGCACACTTGCCAGGCTACTGTGACATGTACGGCTGCAGCCACAGCAGCTGCTGCAGTTGGACCCCAGAATACTTTCCAGTATACGGAGCAATCATGACCAAAATCCTCTCACAGCTTCACAGGGGAGGGCTGCAAGGGACTCATACCTCAAGTGATGGAAATACTTTTGGCGATCCTCCAACTTTGCGGGTAAGGCGACCTCTGTGACGCATCGTACTCGTGAATCTTGCTAAGGGGATCTCTTGTTAGGAATGTCTTAGCGCATTGGTGCCTTTCATGTGGTCCGGTGCGATCACATCCAGCGCCAGTCGAAGGAAAAAGTCTATGACCTGCCCAGCACGTACTAGGTACGGTCAGTTTGTAAGTAACGTTCTGCAGCCTGAATAGAGTGTTTGGGATTTCTGCTTCCGGGCACAAAATTGTGCTGGAAACAGCCCCGTGGAACTCTGTGATGTGGAAGAGGTTCTATGATACAAGTAGGTAGGACTATCCAACCTATGGACGTTTGCACATAACCACGAGGCATGTGGGCTTAGGATAGGACGTCCAGGCTGCATGAGGCTACCCAGCACGGAGACTTCAGAAGGCTGATGATGCAAGGCCAAGATATTGTCGCCATTTGGGGGTGAACTGCTCACTTGAGAAAGGGCAATTGTGAAACCTGGAAATGGAGCACTAGATAACCAAATGATTTACTAGAAAACTTCATTGTGGAGTGTCCAGACTACTGTGAATATCAGCATCAGGAAACTTCCTTGGATTCTTATACCAACAACACTTGGCATGTAAGCTTGAAGATGCTCTGCATCGATCCCTTGCGGCCATGGTCTCTTTGCAGCAGTTGCAGGGAAAGATGCTCTAGCTATGTAGTGCTGGTGCTGAATCAGTCAGAATGTCGTTTACGGTGGATGATACTACTCCCGTGCGAGCAATGTAGAAAATAGCAAGATCCACAACACTAATACTATTTGTACTACTAGTAACAATAGTTACAATAAAACTACTGCAAATATTGGTAATCATCGAAGCTCCGTTCCCCGGCCGAGTCATTGAGGCATTGCTCATCCTCGAGTAGCTTCATGTCCCTGGCCTTAGTACGCAAATTGCTGCACGCGGGGTAAGGAAGACTTTCTATAGAAACATGGAAAGAATCATGCCTCACATTCCTGAAAGCTGAGTTCTACTTTTCCATGATCCTTTAAGGTGTTTTGTGGGGGCCTCTACATTCCTCAGTTACAAAGGGAAGCCTCGCACCATCATCTTCCCCAGAAATGAAGGCTCTGACGGTGAGCATCAGGCCCTCGAGACGCAGAACAATGCCGTCCTGGGCCCAATCTTTGGATTGTGGCGTAAGTGTTGTGGGCTTAGGGTATGAGGGTTGCTGTTCTCATGGATTTTGTGCTGCACAAAAGGGACTTGTGAGGAGTTTTTGACTTTCCGGCAAGTTTTCAAGCAAAAATACAACGCCCACAGGAAAAGGTGGATTGTTTTGGTCCTGTACTCATCCTGAGGGTTACCATCAAAGCATCTCTCAACAAAAACGCCCCGCTGCATCATCCCGGGTATCAATCTTCATAGGCCCAGCACAAACAGATCCCTCCTAGGAAACATGATATCAACTCAACCCCTCGGAACATTAAAAAAAACAAAACTCTTGGCCAAGCAGCCGCGCTAAGCTTTGCAGGAATGTTTCCCGAGACCTTTGGGCAGTTTGTGCACCGGGTCTGTGATTGGGATTTTGGGAATAGGTTCTAGAAGTCTTGGCTGGAAGGAGCGCATAGTCTGCCATGAAGTGCCGGGCTTGAGGTTCAGGATCCATGAGGTTTGACCAGGGTAGCCCCAGTACGAGAAGTGACGTTGAGAGGGCTTGTAGGGATTCCTTAAACCCTGTGATCTGTTGTCCAGCATTGAGACCTCTCTCTCCTTTGTTGACTTTTGACGGCCTGGGATGCAACTTTGAAGGTTCAGGACCCCTCCACTGCACAGGCGACAGCTTCGGGACGGAAGGTTGGCTTGTACCACACCGACACTCGCTTGCGGCCCCTCATTCCCTTGGTTGGGAAATCAGGATTCTTTGGGAGAAAAACCAAAGCCCCATACTCACGATCCTGATCCCAAACCCTTACAATCAAGCCTAGGCAGAATAGACAAAGGTGACGCCTCAAAAACAGTTTGTGCATCCTGCGGCTGCTAATCCTCCAAGTAGGACTGATTACAGGGCCTAAGCAGCTGCCCAGGTCCTGTATACTGCAAATATACTGCGTATCTAACCCTGGGGCTCCCGCCGACACATGTGGCAGCCACCATCGGAGAGCTGTAAGCACCGCGTGAACCTGGCGCGAGGCTTGCTAATGATGACTGCAGCTCTTGTGCAGGTATTCGTACCACTACAAAATGAGTAATGCCACGCTTTTTTTTGGCGAGCTTCTGAACATGCCGGGTTTAAAATTTCCAGAGGAGCTGCTGTATGGATTTTGCAAAATCAACAGGACTTTTGGATCCTTAAAGCTGAAAACCCGACGTGTCAGCCCTGTCTCAGCGTGTGCGCGCACATGCGATTCTGTGAAAAAACTGCTGATAGGTGCCCTCTTCCCTTGCTACCAACCCGGGTGATTTGCGAAAGCAATGCTCATCTATCCCCCCAGAAGTGTAGACCCATTCAGAAGCCATGTTCCGAACCGGCACCTGGTCCTTTGGCGGCACCAGCGCAAACTCTGAGAGCTTTGCATCCTGCTTGATTGTAAGGGGTGTAGGGTTCAGGGATGAAGGGTCAGGCAATTTAAAACAAACTCAAGTATTTCCAGGGCTAGATTCGGCTAGATAAGGACTATGCTGGATGATAGGGGTGTGATTGCCTACAGTAGTGGTTGTGATGGATCCCCCCAGGTAAGCCTGGTCACAAGGTGGCCTACACCCATGAGAAAGGTTTCTTGCACAAAGCATCGTGGGGACAGCCAACATTATGTCTCTGGATGGAATCCTTCATGCTACTGAAGACGTCACGCACAGACCTCTCTGGTTTGTAGTGCAAACACTCTCTTTCTCGTGTGCCTTGCTAATGGCTGGTACTTCTGGAAAGAAGTCGTACTGGCACCTTGTGTGATCTTGATGCAGAGATCTTCGATTTTGATATATCGCTGTTTGTTGCCAGCACTGAAAGAAAAGCCACAGCATTTTCAGCAATGCCAACAAGTCCCGATAGCAGAGAAACTGGATCGGCTAGCAAAGCATTCATGTTGAAAACTACCACGGCAATGTTCCCGCCTCATCTGAGTCTGCCTCAGCATTGGGAACAAAGGTGTTGGGTTGGAGGGCAAGAGTGTGGGTATTTCTGAGGACAAAAGTCTTGCTGTATATCACTGTGTCCTTATCCGCTGCTAAAGTTGAGAAACACTCATGTAGAGGCTAATGCCTACAGTGATCCCATGTCATCCCCAAGTAGATACAGAAAAATTCTCAAAGTTGCTAAGTCAATAGCATGTTGCTTTTCTCCATTCTAATCGATCTATTTATGGAGGACATGTCAAGATCTATGTGTTTGCCTACTTCTGGGGTGTAGCGAAACATCCTGCAGAGATTACATACAGTCACAGGATACATGCAATATCATGTGCATGCTCAAGGAGCATAGCATTGTATGAGTCATTGTATGAGTGTATGTCAAATTCCTGATAATGCCGATAGCATGCTCTTTGTGAGCATACTTTACACTACAACGTAGACCCTGAATCCGCAACCCTAAACCCTGTGCCAGCAGCTCTGCTGAGGACAGGGCTTGCAGCAGCCCGCAGCTAAAGGACTCTTTTAGCCTCAGCGCGATCCTGGCGGCTCTGAGCTGAGGGTTCTGGGTTTTTGGGGTTCAGAGTTTAGGGTTGTTTAGGGTTAGAGGGTTGCCGTAGGGTTTGGGCTTTCAAGTTGGGAGTGAAGGGATAGAGCATTGAAGGCCAAAAGGTTAGATCAGCCCTAAGGCGAAGACAGTCAATTGTCGTAAAGGACCCAACAAGCCCCTATTACCTGACCATAACAAAGAGGCTTGTTTTGGAGGTCTTGTTGGTTGGGAAGTGTGGGGTAAGAGTGTTAGTTGAATTAGCTTGAGGATTTAGGGGCCACAGGCCTGGAGCGTAGACCCCTCGAGCCTTCAGGCCAGACTTGCCAGGTCTGTAGAACATAAACGCAGAAGGTTTAACATGCCTGCCCTTACAATAGAACGGCAGGATTCCGTGTGTGGATCAGATTAGCCATGCCTTTCATCAAGGCACAGACCTCCGAAAACATTGCAGAAACCCCCAGCCAGCTCTTTCCATTGGGATCCCCTGCCAGGGCGTATTTCAAAAACACAATTCTGGCACATGTTCTGCGGCACCCTGATTCAAGAAATCTGCCACAACTCCTAGTGCGTATTCACGACCATGAGAAAATTTTAATCCTCTCCAAACTTAGACAACGGCCCCAAAATCCGGAGACCCAACATTTGAACATTTGCGGCCGCATAAGATCGCCGGGCTTGCATTCGCCCCTTGGCGCTGACAGCCATGCGTTCGATGACCTGAAGAATTCGTCTGTGTTGGAGAATCGCAACTTCATGCTTACCTCCTTCTGCAGTTATAAGAGAAATGTTGGCAGAACTCGGTGCTGTATGAGGATTCACCCATGTTTGCAACCCAACAGCCAACCGCAAAAGATGAACCTCGCTCATGATAGTGAGAAGTTGGTGAAAGGATGCAAGCACATGAAGTCACTAATTAATCAAACCTTCGCATTAAGAATTGTGTCCCTGCTCCCTTCCATGCCGCCCCTTGCGCCATATTCCATTCTGTACCGCGTTCTCGTCCAAATTTTTCGGGGAGAAAACATGTCTTATCTGAACGCCTAGAGATGAACACCTTAAGCTAAAGCTGTTGGGAGTTGCCGGGACTCCTGCCGGGTAAGGTTGCAATACTGTTCTTGATTGAGCCTTTGCATATTCAGAAGCGCCTTGATTTTGGCAAAAAGCATTCTTTCGAAAGAGCCTAAAATGGGGAATCTCGAGACCCTTCCTGCCATTATGCCAAAAACCAAAAGCCCTCCTGAAGCTGGGGCTCCCCAGTGCCAACCGGGATTCGGAGGAATCGCATAAAAGGACTCTTCTAGGGGAGCAAGTAAACCCCAGCAGCGCTGCTAGAGCAGTGAATGTAGGCACTCTTTCAGATACCGCATGGTGCTTAGTAAGAAATTCTCGGCCCGTGCTACAGAAGGAATTTCATCAAGCACTTGAAGCAATTCCGGCCAATAAGAATGGCATATTGACACCAAATGACAGTGACCCAGACCTGGGAACCTTTTCAATATACTGTCAAGGGCAATGCCAAAAGGATGGCCGTTGAAAGGATTATCGGGGTTTGTTGCAGGATGGCGGTCCGCGGCTTATCAAGAGGGTCCTGTACTGTTCTGGGGGCTATGCACCCTCCTTGTTGCACAGAACTACTTTGGGGACCCATCTCCCGGTTGATCTCCCGCAGTGCAAGCCCTAACCCTTTACAACCTCCCGCCCTGAACCCCAACAGCTAGGTAGAAGCAGAGCCCACTGATCAGGAACTTCAGGTTTCAAGCGTAATTGAACTGTTCTGCTAATAGTAGAGTCTACTATGTGTGAGGCTGCGACACACCACAACCACAAGCTTTCGTTGACTTTGCAAGCTTCAACCAGCCCGGGTGTATATTCCGCACGCCACTGCCATTGATTGCAAACATTTTGCTAATCCTGTAATCACTACTGTACTTTTTGAAAACACGTTGGTATCTACTTGAGATTGAAGACAAAGTCTCCAGCAATGACTCACACAATGTAGGTAACACACCTCAAGCTCCCACCAAATCCTCCAAACATGCAGGGCTGTGTTGACTCACTCTGTGTAATGCCATAGGCGCAGAAGGCAGCACATCAAGACTGAAAGTTAGTCATAAATTGATTTGGGAGGTCCCTGCAGCCATAGTTCTGATCATAAAACAAATCATAAACAGGACATCAGGCCAAATCATCAAAAACTCCTAAAACACATTTAAGGTACGCCTTCCCTGCCAACACGGAATATCATAATAGTAGACTGCTTCTTCTACGACTACCACGTTGGCCACTTTCACAACTTTCACTGGTGGCACTAGGTCGACGACAACTACTGACTGTGGTCATGCTTTCATGTGATATTTTAAGGTATTGTACACCATTGGTACTGTGGAAGTTCTGTCATTTGACGAGGGTGGAAGAATGTGTTGGTGTCATGCTGGAAGCCCAAACCCTCGCTATTGCACCTAGCCCAAACCGAGCAAGAGTGGGGCCCCCACTCTCGTGGGGATCAGCACGGTCTTCATGTCTCCCTGTTTGTTGAAAAATCAACACGAAGTCTGAAGTGTTCGTCAACATTGTGGGAAGATTAAGCTTCAAACAGGTTTCAGGAATCCTGCAGGTAAGCGGTGCAAGAAGGGTGTGGAGCTGAGGAGCTGAACAGGGCTCCGAGAGTTGATATGTAGTCTCCTTAGGTAAGGCGAGGGCGTCCAATGGGTGTAGGCACCATGAGGTTCTTTTTTTAGTGTACGAGCAATTGCAGCTCCCGAAAGGGAAGACAGGGACCATGCAGGCCCAAGTGGAGATCTTTGTTAAAGGCCCAATCAATGATTGTCGAGGCACACTAAAATCTTGTTGACATTCGAACAGAGCATGCAATCTTGAGAGTCCATGATTCACATGAGCGCTCATCCAAATGGCTGGCAAATGACTACAGTACACAGCCACGATTAGCTCCTTCTCCCCGCGGGAATTTCAGGATTTAGGAAAGCTAGGTGGCGCAAAATGTCATATCCATCTTCCCTGTTAGGTAAACATGTCTAGATGTTTAGTGGTGTCATTCGCACATGTAGCTGCATAGATATTAGGTGGTGATAAGGAAGCACTAGTGCCAGGCCTCTCGAGACACCCTGGAGATTTCGAGCTCTGACCTCTGAAGACCAGCTAAATGCTCAGGACGCTGATCTGGGGAATCAAGGCCTGAAGGCACAGGAAGTGTCCAAGGAAAACAGCCTCATCAAGCTCGGGGACCCCGAACTTGAATTCAAAAAGCAAAAAATGACTTGGTGTCCAAGGCAGCTGCAACTACCATAATGACTAACACGCTTTCATGGCTACTACTCCGAGCAACGGTGTAAGGCAAGTTGGAAGCAGCCCTGCGAATCGAGAAGCCTTTATCCGCTAGCAGGGGTCCAGCGTGCCGCAGCCTCTACTTCTGCGAGCGCACATAACCTCCAAGTGTGAAACTGTTGTTGTGATGATCGAGGTACCAATGCCTGGGATCGCCCGGAGAACAGTAAACTTTCCGTGCGTGAATTGCCAAAGCTCTTTTTAAGAGAAATGGTGTAAGTCCTGCCGAATTCCTCTGTGAAGAGGTTTGGAGAACGAAGGCAAGGATCCCCTTAATACTCCATACAAATGCACGAAGCACGTCGCTGACAAGAGGCAAGCTATCTCCCGTGAGATGTCCCCTGCCAGAAATGTTCCCAGGTGTGTTCATTGAGGCAGAACCCTTCCCGGATGTTCCATAAAGTTTGATACCCGGCCACATGTACCTACAGCATCAGCACGGGCCCCTGGCAATGCTGCTTCCCCGTGAGCTTCACCTCCTACGAGAATGAAGTGGTCAGCTGTTTAGATTCTGCTGTTTGGGGACTTTGCTCAGTTGCAGGGGTAAGAGTAAGCAGATGCTCAGAAGGCACAACACAAGCGGGAAACTGACAGTCCGAAATAGAACCGATTTTCGAAGGCATTCGGGACTAGTTGCTGGAACAACTCTTTAAACCCGTCCCACTCATCCCTCACAGCTGAGCCTTGAACTTCTAATGTGAGATTGTCTTCGCTACGAGGGGGTCATACCAGGATCCTAGCTTTGAGGCCAGAGCAGCTAGGGGTTTAGGGTGCGGTGCTCCAGGATTTCGGGACCTCGGAGAACCCTTTGCTTTGACCCGGGAACGCTACCCCAAACAAATATGGACCAGCAAAATGGGCCGCACAAAGAGGATTGAGGTTCCAAGCCTGTGTCTTGATACTTCTTACTTCTCACATTATGAGTCGTGGTCTTCGGAAGACCTGCAAATCATATGAGTTGGATCATTTGGGTTTCTCCACATCGACAGTCTGTATTGTAAGCCTCAATTCCCGTTCCCCCAATCCCCTCCCCCGTCTTGTATACGTGTCGGGGGAACCCCAAACATTTCAAAATATGGGTGCTTCTTTGAATGCTGTTAAGGGCCTGGCTTTTTTGGGAAAGCAGTGGAGGTGAATGTTGCTAAATGTTGTCACATCGTACTTCGAAGGACTCTCAATAAGCCAGAGCTCCAAACCTGAAAGGGTCCACGAACCTGAATGCAAACACGTGACAAGTAAGTTGCAAAGATAACACACCCCACACGCGACACGAATCAGGGCTTTCCCCTCTCCTCTCTCCTGTCTCTTCTCTCTCCTGCCCTCTCTCCTCTCTCCTCCCAACAAAAATACGAGGCTCCAAGAAAGACGACAGTTACGAGGATCGCAAATCCTGGGGGTCCCATCCCTACGACTCTTGGAACTTGTGACACGCGACAAAAAGACCAGGCTCCAAAGGCAAGGATGATTACAAGGATCGCGCAACCCCCAAGGGCCGCATCCCGGTGACTGTTGGAACTTTTGACATTCGAAAGAAAATACCAGGCTCTCTAAAAGCGACGACAGCTGCGAGGATCGGAACCCCAGAGGGCCCCATCCGGTGAGTGTTGGCACTCTTCGACGCTCGACGCAAAGATGACACCCCGAAAGCGACGGATGACACGGCCCCTGAACCCAACCTTTAAAACGGGAACACTTCTGCGAAGCATTCGGGAAAATGGCAAGCTGGAACCCTCGCGCCTTTCTGTATCTTAAATCTCTAGACTAACGTGATGGTGGAGGAATGAAGCTGAAGCAATTTGTTGGCAGGTATGCCGGGTATGCTACTTGTTTGGGTTAATTGCAGCTGACTTCCGTCTGGTACTTCCTCAACCCCATATCAGCACGACCCTGTTCTACTTTGAACTCGCCAGCAGCTAGAGCCGCAGCAAGAACAGCAGGGCAATGCCAACTGGGAGCCCGACTTCGTTTGCGAGTTCTGTGGGAGATCGAGACTTCACCTACCTCAGCCGCAGCGTGGCTTTAAGACCATCATTTAGGGTTCTGGGGTTATATCTCTGGAGTGGAGGGGCAAGGATTCAGGGTTCATGCGGTCTTGCGAGTAGAGGTCCGCAGCAATGTATATGACCTGCAATCATGAAAGACCCGCTGAATGCACTGAACAGCGACCTGCTTGAAAGGCTACCTCAATTCCACGAGTTGTTTTCTGAAACCAGGCTCTTCAACGCGTATGGAGGAATTGCACGGGGATTCTATAGGCATTCCTGCCAGTTTTGTAGGAAAAGGAAAAGCCACATAGCCTTGCGATATTCACATTGACTTTTTTTGTAGCAGAGGTCTCCTTCACATCTGCCCAAGATCATAACCCAAATCCTCAAAGCCAACACCTAAATTTATAAAATCTCAAAACCTAAGAACCCTGAAGTCTTGACACCCTACGACCCCCAAGTGCCAAGCCCCAGAGGCCTAAAACCCACAGGAAAGGAACCCTAAAGGCCATCTTCACAACCCTAATTTGAGCTGTCGGCGGTGAGGCTCTGCTTCTTCCCATCCCCTGGCATCCCAGGGTTTAAGGTTCAAGAGCTTTAGCTGTAGCGATTTGGGGTTTGGGTATTTTGGGACTGGGGCATTTTGGGATTTGGCATTTGGGGAAGCTTTTCAACGATCAAGAAGATGGACAGCGTCTCAGGTGGAAGCCAGAATATTTAGGAGGACTGTCTGCCTCCCTGAACTTGGGCACCCTTAGTTGCTGCTGAAACCTCAAGCTGTAAGTGCATGCCAGACTCGTGCACACGGTAGATTTTCTCTTCTATGGTCTGAATATCTACGTTCACCACTATCCCTCAGGAAACCTAACACGCACTAAAGCCAAAGCAATGAGCGTGCTTCAGGGACTACGGTGTTCCTTGGGATCCTTTCTAATCGATTCGGTGTCTATCCATGGACCCGACACTTATTTTGAGAAATGCTCTTGATGATACTTGTTGTACGTTTTGATGTCTTAAGCGTTCCCACATAGGGCTGGCTGTCTCCCAATTTTACTACGTCTTTGGTGTAGAACATAGAACACCTGCAGCGCACAACAAGTCAGGTGGGCAAAGCTGATGGGACTGTAGCCTTTCGATATTGCATGTTGGTTTGGGGGGAGTGTGCTCAGACTGTTTTCAGGCGGGTTTTTGCGAAGACAGGTCCCTAAGCAGTGAACCCTAAACCCCTAGGCCCTAAGACCCTAGACCCCAAACCCGATACCCATAACCCTGCTTACTTGGAAGCATGCACGGAGCGACCGGATTCGCTTTGTTTGGGGATCATCATCTTACCTCACGAAAGGGCTGGTGGTTGTGTATGTGAGGTTATCTTAAACATTGAGCTTCCTGTTATATAGCGGGAATATGACAGAGTGGATGGTATAGGCAGTAGGGTTTCTATACAAGCTTATCGGAACTGCGCTAGGGGTCTGGATGCAGTCTTCTTCATCTGTAGGAAGATCCCGACCACACTATGCCTCACAAGAGGAAGTACATACAGAGTTGTACAGAGGTTGACACTGTTTGTGAGCGAGTTGCCAAGGCAACTTGCTTTTGAGCACAGCTCCCATTAATGTGTTTGTTTGCTGACTCTCTGTCTGGCAGAAATCCGAGAATAGTAACAGACACAGGTCTTTGGGCCGTAAGCCGAAAATCAGTTGACCCTGAAGGCACCCATCTGAAAATCAAGAGGCACACATAAGGACAAGCTTCAAGGCTCTAGGTTCCTATGCACACGTCACAAGGAAATCTATGGGCTGTGTCCTCATCTCACCTGAAAGAGGTCCCCTTTCAAACAAGGAACACAGGCATGAAGAATGGATCCTTATCCTAGCCGCTTTCCCAGGAACCCTTCCCTTTCCCAATCCTGCGTCTACCCTCCAAATGCAATCCAAATTGCGCTTTAGAAACTTGCTCTCTGCAGAACCAACTGAAATGCTGACTCGAAAAACTGTAATCTCTAAAGCCTGAAGTCTCATCCCTAACATCCAAACCCAAAGCTCCAGAGCTCACACTCCAAGTCCCAGACATGATATGAACAAGGGCGCAGAGCCATGCTTGAGAGCACCGGCCTCCAAAGCTTTGAATTTGGGCTTTAGGATCCAGAAACCCAGGTCTCTTTTGGGAGGTGGATTTCTGTTGCTGAAGCTCAT